TTTTCCACAGTAACTAGCTTCCCGCCAGCGATGGACTCGAACATCGAGCGGATATATTGAGCGGTTTCGAGTCCTTCTGCACAAGCTTGGGATTCGGCTCCGAATGTGCTCCTGCAGACACGCTGTCCCGCTCTGGATCTCCAATCGGCAATGCTGAAGTTGCCAGCTTCCCCCGACAGGCATCCCCGGTCGGCGAAGGTGACGAGGATGCCCAACTGTGAGGCGACCTTGGAGTTCCCCTTCTTTGCCTTTCGCTTCTCTTCTCGCTCGGCGAACGGCCCTTCCGTCTGTAGGCCTTGTAGGTCTTCGTCAGGGGTGAGGACGTAGTAGCTCTCCTCCGGGTCCGGCTCGGGGACGTTCGCCCAAGCGGCGTCGTGGTACACGATGATCATCATGCGCTCGGGAGGGATGTGTCTGAAGGTGAGGCCGTGGTCCTTGTAGAGGAGGGCCTTGGCGGCGGTGGCATTGGTGAAGCGAAGGTCGGCGTACGTCGGCTGCTTCTGCAACTGCTGGGCCATGCTGACCGAGCAAGTCAAATCTGGGCGGCTGGTAGAGGACATCCATGAAAGGGCACCGATAAGGCTCCGGTTGTCACTGATGAGCTCGTCGGTCGCGATCTCATCGTCCCTTGCACCACTGGGGACGTCGAGCTGAAAGAGCCTTGTAGTAGCGTACTTTTCCTGACTCACCGTAACTGTCTCGTCGTCCACGAGGATGCGAGAACCGAGGAACTCGAAATCGTCCATCTCCCAGTCCTCGATTGGGAAAGCCTCAGAAAGTCCTTCTTGTATCCGTCCCTGAAGATGGCGGGGGGCCGCGATGAGGAGGTCATCCACATGACATCCCATGAAGGCGACCGGCCTGCCGACAAAGCCTCCGTTCTCCCATTTCCGCAGGACGAACACACAGGGGTCGAGGGGACATTGGTCGAACTGGTAGTGGACTTTCTTCCCGGCCTCGTAGACAGGGATCTGGATGGCAGCGATGCCGGATGGATTTGATGTGCCTCCGTTCCG